AATATGTTAACAAAATTTTTGAATTTCTATAGATGGTTATGAAAGTGAAAATACCATGCAGATTAATAAGTTTTCTGAAAAACACACAAAAATACAACAAATGAGAAAGTAGTGAAGGATGGATAAATTTGATGATGATAGGCGTGAATTTTAAAGGTTTTCGGATATCGCAAAACAAAGGTGAAATTTTCCAAATAACAGATTTTGTAAAGAAATGTGGAGAAGCGGTAATAAATGAAGTTGATATAAAAGAAGTTTTTCATTATGATGACAATGCTTCTACCGCAGTCGATAGTGAAGAAAGTGACGAAAATAACTTCTCTGTCACTCAAGAAAATTTTGATTGACAAATTAGTCAGAATTCTCAAAACAGCAGTTACAGGACTTCAACAATGTAACTAAACAAGAGATTATGTCTGTCTACAGAATTAATGAGAAAGTATTAGCATAAAAAATGAAGCAACTTAAACAACTTACATTGAAATGTTTAATAAGGTAATGTTTAATAAAAAAAAAGAATGTTTAATAATGGAAAGAATGTTTAATAATGAAAGAAATGTTTAATAAGGTAAACAAATCAATATTAAGCTTTTTTTTGTGTGAATTTTGATACCCTTTAGATCATAAATACTTCATTATTTCATAAATCACGATTTCATGTTTTTAATTTTATAATTTCTACATGCCATCTTATTAGATTTAAACTGATGATCTATCTAATATCCGGAAAAATCCCAAATCCGGAATCGCCGAAGTCCTGACGAGTCCAGATTTCAGACTTTGTACTGTACAATGAATGAAAGCTGCATATTACACACCATTAAAGATTTCACTTCACTAGAAACAAGATACAAAAGAAGAACATAAAATCAATTTTAATAATTCATCAAACATATGATAAGTACAACAAATGACTGCATTGAGCAACATGACAGCATAAATTCCAAATTAGATTTAAGTTACTAGGATACAGCAAAGCACACAAGGGCTACTTGTCAGAGATGCCTTTGTGGAGTTTTTTCCAAGGATAACCATGTTATACATGGTGTTATACATGGTGTACCATGTTATACATGGTAGAAACAATAAAAATCAATCATGCAACCAGTCCATTCACTTACTATTGAACTTCCAGTATTTAGTGGTATTAACCACCTGTACACTGGTAGAGTGAAAAATTTAAAGTCAAGGTTTTGATTTGGTTTAGCTGATTAGTGCAAAACAAAAACAAAAAAACAAAAAGTTATCTGGAGAGCTGGAGGAATGACTTTATAGAATATTTTTTAAGCGAAAATGGTTTAAATTCACGCTGAACATGTAAAGATTAGGAAAACAGCATACAGCCATCCTGTTCACTGGAATCAAACTACCAGTGACTAATAGATTTATCTACTCTGTAATTAATTAACCACAAGAACAAGAAATATGGAAAAGTAACCAATATTTCTTTTAATCTACATGAAGATCACTATAACTTGCCGTATGTAGCATTCCAAGGAAACATATCTCTCCTCTAATACAAATAGACCATATTTAAGTTGCAAAAAGTAATATAGTTGCAGTTAAATAAAATTAAATATTTCCCTAAAGCATACTAGGTGGACAGAAATTCTATTTCCTAATGACACAAAATTAGCATTTATAATTAAATCATTTGTCACCTATAATGTACCCATGCCAATGACAGGTATAATCAGGAGCTCCTTGCATAGTTACATTCATGGGCTTGGTCTGATGTTACTGTCAGACAAGTCTAACAATAATTAAATCAATTCAAAAGAATCTGAGAATATTATACTTAATGGACAGAAAATTTACAATGAAAACAATATTTTGATGTCTATTCTATGAAGGAAAAAAAATGCCGTTAGAATGGTTTAATTCAAGAAACGATGAGCACAATTTTCAAAAAAAACCCATATTACTTTTGAAATTTGCCATGTAGTACACCTATATAGTAGAAATCTTGGTTGATCTTTGGATTATGGTAACTTGGTGATTTTTGGCGAAATTTAACGACCAACTCTGTTACAGCAACCCTCTATTTTTTTTTCGCCGCCATTTTGTCTTCACGAAGTAAAGACATGTTTCTTTTCTTTTTATTTACTGAACACTTTTTCCAACAATCTACTAGCCGAATTACACTTATGCTAGAAATTTTATGTAACAAAACTGCTTAATCATGACAAATATTAACTGCAAAATTGGGAAAAAGTACACAATCGCAAACTCCTTGCGCGTTTTTCAGAATAGCACATACACATAAACCATTTACACGTTGACTTATTTTTACTTAAAAAAACATCCCAGAATTGCACAAAAATGGCATTGCACACACTCTTAACTTTATCCATCTACACTGCTATTTTCTCATAAATTACAAAAATTTGCACGAAAATGCAAAAAAATTCTGTGAATTTTTAAACTCGGTAAAAAGCACATATATGAAATTACCTGATCGCAAAAAAGTATATACCCTTTCCAAGGATGAACATTTCCACGTATAAAATAAATAAAATATCCAAAAACTTTCACCTCTAAATTATCTATTATATTATAAACGTCACCAACGAATTCATACCGCAAACATTACAAATGGTTACAAATACTTAGTATCAAATATTTAAATTATTTCCATGCACGTTTACTTCAACTGAAACGTATACCAAATTCCTACAAACATAAAATTCACAAAATAACTATCATTTAATTAAAATATCATTAAACCATGTACACGTTGACTTATTTTTACTTAAAAAAACATCCCAGAATTGCACAAAAATGGCATTGCGCACACTCTTCACTATATCCATGTACACTGCTTTTTTTTCATAAATTTGAAAAATGGTTGATCTTTACATTATGGTAACTTGGCGTTTTTTTTGGCGAAAATTTGGCGACCAACTCTCCTACAGCAACCCTCTATTTTTTTTTCCCACCGCCATTTTGTCTTCACGAAGTAAAGACATGTTTCTTTTCTTTTTATCTACTGAACACTTCTTCCAACAATCTACTAGCCGAATTACACTTATGCTAGAAATTTTATCTAACAAAACTGCTTAATCATGACAAATATTCACTGCAAAATTGGGAAAATGTGCACAATACCATACTCCTTACGCGTTTTTCAAAATAACACATACACATAAACCATGTACACGCCAACTTATTTTTACTTAAAAAAAAATCCCAGAATTGCACAAAAATGGCATTGTGCACACTCTTCACTATATCCATGTACACTGCTTTTTTCTCATAAATTAGAAAAATTTCACGAAAATACATGACAATATTCTCAATCTTTAAACCCGGTAAAAAGAACATATATGAAATTACCTGATCGCGAAAAAGTAATGAAACATTTCCACATATAAAAAATAAATAAAATATCCAAAAACTTTTACCTCTAAATATCTATTATATTATACACGTCACCAACGAATTCATACCGCAAACATTACAAATACTTAGTATCAAATATTTAAATTATTTCCATGCACGTTTACTTCAACTTAAACGTATACCAAATTCCTACAAACATAAAATTCACAAAATAACTATCATTTAATTAAAATATCACTTAAACCATGTACACGCCGACTTATTTTTACTTAAAAAAACATCCCAGAATTGCACAAAAATGGCATTGCGCACACTCCTTCACTATATCCATGTACACTGCTTTTTTTCATAAATTAGAAAATTTTCACGAAAATACATGACAATATTCTCAATCTTTAAAAACCCGGTAAAAGAACATATATGAAATTACCTGATCGCGAAAAAGTAATGAACATTTCCACATATAAAATAAATAAAATATCCAAAAACTTTTACCTCTAAATAATCTATTACATTATACACGTCACCAACGAATTCATACCGCAACCATTACAAATACTTAGTGTCAGATATTTAAATTATTTCCATACACGTTTACTTCAACTAAACATATACCAAATTCCTACAAACATAAAATTCACAAACTAACTATCATTTAATTAAAATATAATTAAATTCAAAAACACTACTTAAAATATAAATGAGCAGATACATTAAATTAATACATACATAAATACCCATTTCGAATTCACTTTAGTTAGGGCCATGGGATCCAAAAATTAACGAACACTGTTTCACACAACACAGAATAAAGCTAAATACAAAATTTCCAGATTTTTTCCCGATTTCCCCCCTTTTCCGATTAAAGAACTATAATTCATCCATTAATGTCACATGACATATCTCATGATTTCTCATTTCCCTCACACAAAATAATGCGTAATCGGAACTGAGTACTTCTCACATTATAACCAAAGTCCTAGGTAGTAACCTTTATTGCCTCCAAAATGTCGCCAAAACTACCAGTTACCATATTCCAAAGATCAGCTGAAATCTTTGATCTACAGTCTTTTGAGAAGATTTACTGTAGGTTCCATAACAAAAATAGAGGGAACATGAAAAGTAAAAGATATTACTTAATAGTACCAAAATATTAGCACTGATTTTCAATACAAATTCACAATTTTTAAACTTTCTTTTATTTTCTGAAATAAATTAAAATCCCATATTAATAATTAAATTCCAATGATTTTAAATTAGTTAAAAACATTTCAAACCTGATTAACCAATCATTTTTCTGTGTCATTCAATTCTCACAGGTTAAGCAGGTGTATTCTCTTTTTGTTTAAGAAATCTCTCTTTAGTGATAAGAGTTCTAAAATGATTCATCAAGTAGTATGAAAGAAAGTACCTCATTATGTTTAGTAAAAATCCACAAACATACAGCACTTAGCCTCTTCCCCCCTTTTTTTAAAAAACGCGTCCATTAAAAAAAAGTACATTTTTATCAAATTTTTGTAATCATTTCTTTACGATCAAACAGAACTTTAAAAACTGGTAATATATAGGTCACAAACTTTAAATGGAAATTCATTCACACAATCTGCAATATTGTATATAATAAACGATCAGTTAAAATGGATTACTCTCATAATTACATTTAAATATAAAACAACTGAGATGCAGAACAATTTTAAAAGGCAATGTTTTGTTTTCTGTCGGATAAATAATACATGATTATTTACTCAACAAACACTGAACAGGAGATAAACATTGATAATCTTATTTTGCATTTGAAATTCCATCTTTTTGCCCGCTGAAGATAATCGACTACAAGAACATATGTAGGCTGACCATATGTGTCGCACTAAAAATTGAGCATATTTACCATTTTGATCAGGAGAGCACTATTTTTTTTATATCTCTAAGCGGTCCCATCTTTTAAATAAATATAAATACTTTTCCCATTTTTAATAAAAATCATAAATAAGCTTCAGCTAGGAAATCGTAAAATACTTTTCGTAAATGGCCTGTAATCATATATCAGTACTATGAAAGCCAGAGTAATTGCTGTTTGATTCATTACTAACCCCCTATTCACCAACTTGCATTTGAACATCGGATAACGCAAGGCCATCTTGATGACTGCTATGAAATAATGTGTAAGTTCATGTCATCATTTCATCTGCGTAGGTTGGGCGTTTAGCTTTCAATAATGAAATCTCAAAAATGTAACCAAATTTAATCCGTATATCATAATCTGTTTTGAAGTATTTTCAGAACACTTCTTAAGAGTTTCAGTTACCAAATAAAGTATTTCTCCGACTGTATTTGAGGTTTTCTTAACCATTTATTACATAGTAGATCTTTTCCCAAAAGCCATTCAAAGATATTTGTTAACTCACTACAAACTGAAACAGTTAAATCATGTTCGACCTTGGATGACACAGTCACTGTTGAGCACTCTACCATCTTAATACAAAAAAAAAAAAAAAAAAAAGTATATAATCAGATGCTTTCGTTATTGCCCATGTATTTTATAATTTATTGTTGTAAAGTTTCAAAAATTCTGAATGGGAGGCAATGTTGTCTGCAGCGCACTTTTTTTTTAAGTAATTTCACACCGTTTCTTTATTTCTCTTGTCCTGTCTTTTGGTGTCTTTCGCTTTTGTGGTAAAGGACTAGGTAAATATATAGGTTGACTGTAAGAAATAGTCAAATATGCATCTTTGTTAAAACTAGCACTTTTCTTTGAAGTGTTAATACTGTCTCATCAGGTCATATTGCTTTATCATGTCTTAGGATAAAACAAAATGATTCATCAAAATACAAAATGCACAAACTAGCACATGATCCTGGTACAAAGTCTTTCCTATTAATTTTATTAATCCATGTTTTACACAATAGTACATCTTTGGACAACATAAAAGTTGTAATATGCTTTTAATTTGAATAGTATTTTGACTTACATCCCGGAAAGCTACATTTTCGCGGCATCTGTAAAAAGTAACGCACCCTAATTAAAGAATAACTAAAGGAAAATGAATTACAGTGAGTTAGTTAATGCTATTAACTAATATGCTGTAGACTATAATTATTAATGTACTTCTATTAATAATTTTAATACGCTTAGTGAACATACTAAATACATGTACAAGCTCAATATTTTTCAGCTTTCAAGGATTTTTTTTATTATTCTTGTCCAATTTTGAAGAAAGAATTATTCTATTAAAGCAGTATGAGATTCGTGTTTGATATATAGTTTGGAAATGAAAGGTACAAGAAAAATTTAATGGATTATTATATTATTTAACATGAGTGCTTTTCACTTATTAAATTAGAACGTGAATAAAAATGGAGGATCTTCTTAGCTTGCATTTATCATAAAAGTGTTCGCTTCGTATCACGAAGTAACTTTATGAAGTACAGGTTAAAGATAATTAACTAAAGGAAAACATTAAAGAGAGCTAGTAAATAAACTTAAATTTCGATACATCTACCTAAAAGTCAAATTTGCTGCAGTTAAGAAATAGTTACGGAGTCATAACGAACCGATATTAGAAGTGCTTCGCACTTGGTTCGTTAACATTAAAAATGTTTTTTGTTACGACTTTGAGAATTTATTCACGGCTCGTCCGCTGCAAGAAGTCTTTGACAGTCATCTAACTCTATCAGATTTATTTCCACAAATTATTATAGTTATTTCCAAAGAAGAATGGCAGTTTATTTAAAAAGTATTCTTTTTAATAACTACATTGCATATAATAACGTTTTTTTTTAAAAAAAATCAACGGTATCCCGATGGGAACTAGCGCGAGTTCAGCGATTTGTATCTACACCAAGGAATTTCTTTTCCAACAACACTTATCTCAAGTGCAACAATCATATTACTCTCACATTTACAGATACATTAATGATATTACTGCAATAAACAACTTCAATAAAATAGAATGCGGTCACATTTATCCTTTATGTTTGAAACTCAATAAAACTAACTTTCAACAAGGAGATAATAATTACTCAGATTTGCAAATAATCAATTTTAACGATATCAAAATTTATGGCAAAAGAAGAGAGTTTGAATAAAACTCATCCATTGGCACTCCAATATCTCCAAAAGAGTAGCGCTTAATACCTTACATACTCAACTCCTTAGAATAAAAAATATTTGCAACAGAGTCGAATACCTGCAAGAGGAAATCACTTACTCAAAATTTTCTTAGATACAACTCTATTCAAAATTTATGTAACTCTAAAGAAAGGTGGTAATAACTACCTTTTTTAAATTTCTCATGTAAAGTGATATGATAATTATTACTTAAACCTTAACCGGAGGTAATAGTTGGATGACTACGATAAGAAATTTAATGTAAATATGTACAAACATCTTGTTTCTTTCCCCTTTTAGTTACTATTTTTACTATCTTTCTATTATTTTGTAAATTTAATAACTGGTAGCTGTTACTAAGAACGTTGTTTTTTAGTTTCTAAGACGTATTGTACTCCGATTATGTAAAGACTTTTGTCTTTTATATTTATAACATATATTTTTCTTTTTCCCCAACTTTTAGCCAACACTGCTTTCGCTTTTTAAGATTTTATAGAAGACAGCATTTTATAGTAGTTTCTTACGCCGCCATTTTGGACTCGACGATCACCCTCCTCGGAGATAATAATTTTTACAGACTGCACTCAACATTCGGTCCCCCCTTCTCACGCAAAGTTTAACAGGATAGGACACATGTTTATATACTTAGTTCTGCTATTGGGATTCCGAGGATGGACGGCGAGGGTGACGGTCGCTCGTGTAACGAGCTCCCGCCAACGCAGGGCAATTCTCCGAATTTTTGTGATAATAGTGATATTATTGATGAAGATATGAATGAAATCAGGGATCACGCTCCCTCTGTGCAATCAGTGTCGCCAGATGACGAACGCATGGACCTGGTCATCAAGTTTTATGACATGAAACAGCAGTTTGAGGCCATACAGCGTCAGAAGAACTTTATGAAGAAGACGCCAACGCCACTGGATCAAAACGGATACGACCAGCTCGACCGGGCGGGTAAGTCACTTTTCCATAAGATTAATGACATTGCTAATGCTCTAGATGTACCCATTTTTCATCTTCCCTCAACCAGAGAGGAATTTTTAAATATATTGGAGAGCGAGCGCTTAGCCAAGATGGCTGCCGCTCAATCCGCAGAAGATCCTTGTAAGCACGAGGCATCTATTCCCACGCACGAGGGGCGGGGGAAACCAGTCCAGTCGACGTCATCGCGGAAGCGAAAGACGCAGACTATCGACTCCGACGGGTTTATCACCCCCGCGGCTCGAAAGCAAGGGAAGGCGCCTATTGTGGATCTCACAATAGATGATTTGGCTTTGAACGCTAAAGTTACAAATAATACTATTCCAAATTCTAAATTAACAGCCACTTCAAAAAAATGCTACTCCTAAAAAGGAGAGGAATACTAATAAGTATGAAAAAATCAAAAATTCATTAATCAATGATCAATCCAATGACGCAGAAATTGTTACTGCAAGTACTAGTGAGGGAGTTAATTCCGAGCAGGCACGGAACGTACCCCCCCACCGCAGTCTGAGATTCCGGCAATACATCTCAAAAGCAGCAAAAACTGGAAGACGCAAGTGTCTTTCATGAGAGAAATTGCCCCAAATTTACGGAGCATCCTGACTGGACCTCAAAATTTTTGTTCAGACAGAGCTGGAGTTCAGGGAGGTTACCCGCTGGGTGAAGCAAGCTGGCATCCAGTTCAAAACTTTCGACCTAAAGCAGGACCGGCCAGTCAAAATTGTCATCAGAGGCCTCCCTGTTGAAACTGAAATCGGGGATATCAAAGAGGAAGTTGAGGCGATGGGATTTAAAGTGCATCGCATCGTTCGGCTTACTCAGCCTGGCTCCAGACATCCAATGCCACTTGTATATTTACAAGTTATCCCACACCCCTTCCTCGATCATCTGTTTGCCGTCACTGACATGTGGGGCACAGAGATCAGCATTGAGCGTTACCGCGGCCGCAAGGGCCCTACTCAGTGCTTTCGGTGCCAGGGCTTTTTCCATTCTTCGGAACTCTGCACCCTTCCAATCCGTTGTGTCAGATGCTCTGGACCCCATTGGGCACGTGAGTGTACCAAAGGATTAGACGTACCTGCCACTTGCTGCAACTGCGGTGGAGATCATCCAGCTTCATACAAATCTTGTCCCCGATACCCAGGCAACAAACGGGCTCGCGGTAAAAATTCCGCGCCTAGGACTAGGGCAGCTGCTCAGACAGCCCCCCGCAGGGTTCTTCTAAGCCCCCAGCAAATGCTGAGACAAGACGTCCCATGCCTGCTCCCCCAAGCAACGTCAGTTCACCATCTTATGCACAGATGGTGAAGAACACCACCGAGCACGGATTCAAATCCACGAATCCAAGACTGCCGGTTGCAGAAGCCCCTGCAGCCCCAGCAGTGTCAGCCACAGCAGAGTGTAGCAATGATTCAGACGATGTCTTCTCATCTACACTAAAATGCTTAATCGAAATCTCCCGCGACCCAGCGGTAGACAAGCATATTCTGCTCCTTGCCTTCAAAAAAGCAATGCCTAAACTCAGGCAAGCAGATGCTTTAATGAGGGCATTTTATATTTATGAAAGCTATGTTGAGCTTTCAACCTAATTCGGCTTTTTTAGACCCATGTCTTCTGTTTTTCAGTGATGAACCTTTAATAACGGCTTAAAATTCAATTGTATGAATAACAGTTCAAATACCACCAGA